AATTTCATTAAACAAATCAATTTAAAATTCTTATCAGTATAACATTAAAATTGTTCTTGTCTTACATAGTCGTGTTCAATAAGTATATATTATATGAAATTTTTCTATTTAAGGCCCCACATTTTATTTATTGCTAAAAACTTATGAATTTCTCTTGTTACCCACATAAATTCTTGAAAATAATAAAAGAATAAAAACTAAAACTTTTCTTCAAATTTTTTTTTTATTTTCTGTATAAATTTTATCATTGCAAGACAAGAAATTTTTACAAATTCCCTTACTTATGAACAATAAATTGAAGTAGACATGATACTATATTATTTTGTATACACAAAACTAACTTTTAAAATTATGAACGCCAGATATTTCACAATTGAATCGGACACTAATTTGGACAATTTGAATATGAAATATTCGATATTTACTTTTGTGAAAATTAATACACGCAAATACGGGTATGTAAATAATATGTATGTACGTATACGTACCACATTCAAAAGCCAGGAAAAGAAAACATTTAATTGCTTATAAATTTACACCGTAGTTTACCAAATTAACGAAAACTACTCTTAAACATGCATACATACATATACAGATACAGTCAACTCTCCTTTTAAACAGTTTTTTTCTACTCAAATTTGAAATTACATGACGTAATAAGAAAAAACCACTTGTTTTTTTTGCACGGTCTGTTAATAAGTTTTTTTTTATTCAACATGTTTTTTTTTAAATTTTATGAATAATATATAAAAAATTTAATATGAAAGAAAAATGATTTCCAGTACCTTTTCTTAAATAATTTTCAATACGAAATATGACAAAATTTTTGGAAAGCGGATAACAAATTATTAATTTTACTAAAACAATATTTTTTTTCTATTTTTTATACAGTTTTCTGAAAAACAAATCTTTAGTGTGAAAAGGATTTGACTGTACATATATGCATATATATGTATATTGCCGTTACATATATTGCAGTTATATATATTTCTGACTGAAAGTCACATTCTAAAATATTTAAATTCATTTAAATTGATTTCAATTTCAAATGTTTGTCGGCAAAATATATTTTAAATAATATAGTCAGCAACAGTAACAGCAAAAAACTAAATTTTATATGTGTATATGTAAATTATGTAAAATACTAGTATTGCAATAACTACTTATTTTGTAGTAAAAAAATATTAAAATTTTTTCAATTCTGTACAAAAATTTAATTTGAAAGCAAAATAATTATAAGTAAGTGTTTTTTATACATATACATAAGTTTGCATACAAAATATGCACATTCGAAACTCATATATTCAAATTGATCTCTCATAATTTAACAAAAACTACTGTAAGTACTTACTTACTAAATTTTTATTATAAAAGAAAAGAAAAATGAAAAATGACATGAATGAAAATTTATTCAAACAAACAAATAAACAATACCAGCCCATTTAAATCATAAAAAAATAAAACAAAACAAAAAAAAAAATAGAAAACAAAAATTTTTTTATATTAACTTCATATTTATAATATAAAGTACACAATCTGTATATGTATATACAGATTGTGGAAAGATCACCGCCACATCATTATTACGAAAAATTCATAACAAAAAAAAAAAAAAAACAAATAAAGAAAATAAGAGAAAAAAGATTTCAGTCTCTTAACAAGTTTTATTATTGGTCCATTTTGGCTACTGTTCATACATACACACATAATATTGAGCATAATATATTTCTTATTTACAATCAAAAACGACCGCTAACAATATTCTGCTCAGTGCCCGCACAATTAATTAAAATCTGTGAATGATTTTATTTTGAATATTTTTCCTAATTTTACTCAATATTAATTCTGTCACATCGTTTATAATATCGCTATTATATAAAAGCAAGATAGTGTCTGTTACTAAAAATTTTTATTACAATACTCGAAAAATTCAATTTTATTAAATTGAATTGGAAACAAAATTGGAAAATATTTAGATTATTGGCTTTATTCTGTTCCTTATTACCTCTTTTCTTATAATTTGTATATACCGTTTTAGACAAGAACCGTAATATTAAACACAAAAACAAAATGGCTGTTAAAATTTACCGTTATCATAAATTCGTTTTTTACAAATTTCTGATATCGTTTTGCTTCTAGATCTCGAGTTGTAGGAATCTGGATTTTAATAGCTCGTATAGATATTCATAAATAGTTCATTTCGTTTTAAGAAAATTTTTTCCGTTTATACCCCCTCCCTAATTAACACCATTCGAAATTTCTAAAATTTGAATTTTTGGCACCCCCATATATCCGAAACTTCAAGCTTTCCAAAATTTCTAGAAATGCAGAAAAGCTTGCAGTTCTAACAGTAAATTCCGTGCCATCAAAAAATATAATTATTTTTCTTAACTCACGCAATTTAATTATAACTCCTTTTTTTTTTTTGCCTCATCCAAAATGTATGCAATTTTGAAAATATATTTGTATATGAATGAAAGTAAATTTAATATTATCGACACCCTCGGCTGCCAAGCCCATTATGAGTTTACAAAGTTAATTTATCTTAATACTTATATTGAATAGTTTTGTTTTAGTTTACAATTTCCATATTTTTAATTTTACTTTTCTTGTGCATTATGACCTTTACAAATTGTTTTAATTATTATTTCATATCAGGATTAATTAAATCAAATTCCACATATTAAATAGGTCACTAAATTTGATATTTTCAGTTATTGGAAGCAAAATTTCATAGAAATCTTTGGAGCAGGACTCCAAATAATCCCTAGTAACAGAGCATTGCATAAAAATATGTTTATTGATAATATTGTTATAATTTACTATATAATGTTATACAAATAAATAAATAAATTTAATATTGCAGTACATAGATTGTTTTTAAAACCGCTGCTTTAACTTTTTGAAGAGGAAAGTGCTGTGTTACAAATCACGGGTTTGATTCAACTTTATTAATCTTTTCTGAATTTTGTCTTAAAAATTCGATCTATCCATCCAAATCATATGTATAAATAACAACATAACTTTTATTGTTAACAATTACATCAATGTGAAATATCAATAATGACATACCACTTAGTATAAGGTATAACTTCTAAGTATGTATGTGTAGTTATCTACCCAATAAGTAAATAAGTTTTTTATATGCATAACATATGTATATATATATATTATTTTACTATTTATATGAATATTTACATACATACATACATGTGTATGTAAATATTCAATTTATATCAATGAAAGCATGAGACCAGATGCTGATTCTTTGAATACTTAATATATTAGATTATGCCTTTAAAATATTGATGTTGATAATACAGAAATATGATTGCTACTATATATTCTTGTTTCGATTATGAAATTGTGATGCTGATGATGCATGCAGTTAGTTACTTAAAATCTCCGACGATGTACTTATAAATTACTTATTAAAATATATTTATGTTCATATATGTATAGGTTAACAATTTATATTGGAACCATTGACGATTTCATTTTAATGATGTTATAGTTAATGATATATATAGTGATAATTGTAGTTGAGTGAGTATACACTTAAATACATTATAATCATAATATCCCAAAAAAAGTTTTGTCATTTTTATGATGGTTCACATTGAAATATATGAAGGAAAAAATTACACACATATAAACTTTATGTTTGAATCTTTAATAATTTAAAAATATGTGAAAAGAAATCATATTCATTGTTAAATTGTGTATTGACAATAATATTTATAAATTTTATTAGTATATGTATATATACATACATACGTACGTATATGATTCTACATTAATAATAATTATGGTATTTGAAAAAACACGAAGTTTACGAATATAATCTGATCAATTATATACCACATTTGAGAAATGTGCTTAGAGAAATTCATTCGGAATTCCGCCAAAAATTTAAAATATATTTAATATTGCAAAAGCAAATAATAAATTGTAAATCATTAACTAAACATTGATTAAAATATTATTAAAATATCAATTAATATTTTTAAGAGTTAAAAAAAATTAATCGTAATCAACAAATTGCTCGTAAAGCTTTAGTAGAAACTTTCTGACTGGTTGTTTCTTGGTAGTTTTTTTTTACAGGCTCCGAACTTTAGAATTTATCGTAGTTGTTTTTAATCTAATATTGTAATGTAAATTTAAATTGACATTTTTTTTTATTTTTCTAATATACATATATTTGAGTTTATATCAAAAGATTTAAGCTTACATTAAGTGTTAATACCCCTACATAGTTACAAGATCATTGAACATCTCATAGTTTTTCTATTAAACATGCAATTTTCGAACTTGCCAAAAATATTATTATACTTTTCTGAAATTAGGTGCATTTCAGAGCATTCATTGTGCGAAACTATTGTCATATAAAAAAATTCTTTTTGCATCTTACCTGTTGAATTGTAGAGCTTCTCATAATTATAGCGATTTTTCTTGAAAAAATTAAACAATAGTATCTTTTCGTCTGATTCCGGAAAATATATTTTTGTAATTTTTAACATTTTTAATATCACAAAATAAAATGCAAAATATAATGAAATAATGAATTAAAATTGACGCCACTATCAACAATAATCAAAGTTTTAATTAAGTGTCCATTCCATACATCCATAACTAATATTTTTTTTATATAAGTATGTATGTCCTAATCCACACACACACACCTTTACTTATTTCCCATTTACCGTACATAATACATAATATCTGTTTAAAACTGCATTTACATATATTTAAAACTTTTATAATTAAAATCGCCCCTCCATCTTAAGCTTCTTTCAATTATATTATAAATTTACAATAAACGCTTATTACAACCATTTTTAATTTAATTCAAAAAAAAAAAAAAATCAGCTGAAAACAAAATAATCAAACAAATGAATTTAATTGTGTATTTTAATTAAATGAAAATAAATTAATAATATGAACATACATATGTACTTGTACTCGTATAACGTAAATATTGATTGAAGTGATAAATTAAATACAATAAGAGTTAAAAATAAAAATACTCTTTAAAAAAAGGAGTTATATATAAGCGGTATTAACCAGTTAAACACTGCTTTGTAATAAAATGACTAACGAATGGATAGATTGGTCTGATTGTCGTCTACGTGCTCCATTGAGAACCGGCTGCAATACATTCTATAATAACAATAATAATAATGTTAATATTAATAATAATTATTATAATTCATACACAACAAAAATTAATAATATGACTATTAAAATGCAACAAACTAAACAACAGCAATTAAAACCTAAAGGTAAGTAAAAAATAAATAATTTGTAAAATATTTCTGCCGCTACTTTAAACCTCTGATTTTCACTTTTTTGTTAACGAACATGAAAAAAAATAGCGATCATTTTTAATAACGATTACAATTATGTTTAATTTTTAGCACTTTTCCAAAAATTTTTGAAAAAAAAGTGCTTATCAGTTTCACTCTGTCCGCCCGTCCGTCCGACCGTGGAAATTTTTTTTGTTTACAAAACTTCTACACCCTTGAAGATAGAAAACTAAAATTTTATATGTACATAGATCTTTACTAGAAACTTATTTCTGTAGAAGAAAATTTTTACCTATCTTCCCCCCTCTAGAAGTTATACCCCCCCCAAAACCCTAAAAATGCCATTTTTTAAACATTTATCGCAGTGAAACCAAAAGCATTTTTCAAATTTTGCAAACGCAGAAAGGTAGTGCGTTGTTTCTCCTATCGTAGCATACTATACTTAAAATTTAAAAAAACAAAATGGCTGTTAAAATTTACCGTTACCTTAAATTCGTTTTTTACAAATTTTTGATGTCGTTTTTCTTTTAGACCCCAGGTTGTAAGAGCCTGAAATTTTAGCAGCTTTTAGACACTAATGAATAGTTTATTTCGTTAGAAAAAATCTTTTTCCATCGTTCATCCTAAATATATGCAATCCTAGAAATAGTTTCGTTTATGAATGAAAATAATTTTAATAGTGTGGTAGATATACATACATAGACTGTATTTAAAAGCAGTATTTTCACTTGTTGAAGGGAAAAGTGCTACAATACAAACCATTGGTTTCACCAAACTTTATTATTTTATTAAATTTCGAATACAAGTCGTAGAAATATATTGATTTCATTATAAGTAATAGCAGAAAAACTCAATTGATTTTTGATAATACTTTTTGAATAAGCTGTTATCAAAAACCAATTGACGATATCTAATAACAATTTTTATTAAAATTTGTTAAAAAAAACCTTTGGTTCTGTGGTTTCCAACTGCTTACCTACATTTTGCTTTAAATAATGCAGATTAATCAATTCTAACTAACACAAGAGATGAACTATTGTAACACAAAAAATTTGCAAATTATTTTTAATATTTTCGATTTCCGAATTTCGAATTTGTTATTCTCAACTTCCATTGTCCAAATTGAAATAATGAAATATATGTTAGACTGCTTGAGCACGAAGAATTACAGGAAAAGATAAAGAGGTAGACTTTTCCCACTAAAGACCCAATAATTTTATTGCTATGATAGCACAAACCTTCTGCTTTTTTTTCCCTATAAAATACATATAATTTTTGGCACTTGGAAAGAGTCACGATTTCTCCAATAATTGACTTCTTATTTTTACATAAGTAATGCCGTTTTTTATTCAATTCATTTTCAATAAAAGCTTTTAACAAATTTAATTAATTTTTCAAATTTAATTTTATTTTGATTCAGTATTGACTCATTTGTTTTAATTATTCTTATTTCTCCGTTAACTTTATGAATAACAATAAAACAGTTTTTTCTCATTGAATTCATTTTAATGAGGATGACGATTACTTATTAATTACTTTCCAGCACAACAAATTAGAAGTTTTTAAAAATATTTGTTAAAACAAAACCAAAGCAAAAAAAGCAACAAAATTGTTAAATTTAAATAAAAGCAAAAACTAAAATAAGAAAAAAAAAACAAAACTATAAGAACATTTTTACATAATTTCAGCCAGGTAAGTGCAGAACTGAAGATTGAAAAAGCAAGAAAAGGACACAAAAACAAGAAGGGGTTAAATTTGAAATTAATAAAAAGAACAAAAAAATTATTTTAATTCTTATTATTTTTATCCAACATTGTGTTAAAAATAAATAAAACAAAAATACGATAATTTAAATACGACCGGCCCCGGTCAACTCAACCTAATTATAAAGTCAAAAAATTTACCAACCGTAACGAATTCACTTTAATAATGTTTCAGTATAATCATTTTTTCTGTTGTAGTTTTTTTTTTGTTTTTCATTTTTATAATACTATTGTGTTTTTATGAAAATTTATTTGTACCTCTATATAAAAATATACATTCAGTATTTTAATGTATTCCAAAACTGGGTACATATACTGTAAACCGATAAACAAGTTGTTCCAAATTGCCAACTTATACCTTGAATATAAAATCAAATATATTACTACTGACACATAAAATGTTGTAGTAAAACGCACAAATTTGCAAAGATATTTTTTTATTTATAAAATGACAGCAATGCAAACCACGCAATGCTATTCAATTAATCAACCCATTAATCAATTTGCTACAACTTCGAATTTTCAAACTGCAAAAATGACCTATATCTAGAAATGAGATTTTAAGTTCTTATTTTTCATTTTTGCCTCTAGTCAATACAAAATTTCAGATGTCAATTTCTTTTTTTAAAAATCAAAAATTTTCGAAAACAATTTTTATTTTCAACTTAAATTGCACCTTCCGGTTTAAGTTTTATCGCTTTAGAAAGTGTGCACACTGTATGGAAATATATATGTATATATATATACATATACTTATAAGTATACATTCATTCGACATACATACATATATCGTGTTAAATTTTATAATTCTACCCAGATTTACATTCTATAATTTTTTTCTTCGTTTTTTCTCTTTTGCTCTTTTAATTCATAAAATCTCCCTTAAGGCAAATTTATAACCACTATATGAATAAATAAATAACTATAATAGTTAGATAAATATATACCGGTGTTTGATTATATTTACCTTAACAGTTAATTATTAACTTAAGCTGACAAAAGTGAGGTTATGGTTATATGCGATAAAAAATTAAAATACTATTAAAGTATAACTTGTAATTTCTATACTAATATAACTGAATACAGTATGGAACATATTCTTTGAGAAAAAGGGTATTCGGTGTATAATTAAAAATGAAATTGATATGTTACTAGATTATTAAAATAAGCCTACAGATAATTGTTTAATCTTTACCTCATAAATCACTTTTTTGTGAGTTCTAATTTCACCATGGGAACTTTATTAAGAAAAAAAATTTTATATTGAACTTTTTATAATTTTTTATAATTTTCATTAACCCTATTTGATTTTATAATTTTTTATTTTTTTTTTACTTACTTGCTTATTAGCTATTATGAATGTGTGCAACAAAACTTTTAAAATTTTTAATTATTTCAATTTTGGGTTTTTGATTAAATACGACTCAAACGAAGAAAACCTTTACAATTTCGTTTTTTTAAGCGCTTTATTAATAAAATAAATCGTAGCATTAGTTTTATGAATAGAGATGCAGTAAGCAAAACTACTAGTGCTATTATTCAAATTAAACAAGTAAGCAAAACAATTTACTATTATTCAAATTGCTTTCGTTCATATTGCAAAATATTTAAAAAAGTGCATACATTTGAGATGAGAAAAAAAATTTGAAAGAAGCGTTAACATAATGGTTTAATTCGACGGTTAAGTAAGTAAATTAAGATAAATAATTATATTGTTTGATGCCATAGTATTTACCGTTAGGATTTTGTTTTAATAGAAAAATGAAAAAGCTTGTAGTTTCGAACATGTAAAATTCATATTTTACCGAGATATGGAAAAAATTTCCTTCCAAGGAAATAAATTTATTTATTATACAGTACCTAAAAGCTGCTCAAACTTCAGACTTCTATTTCAAACTCTCCAACAGTAAAATGAAAAATTTGAAAAAACTAGTTTTAGATAACAGTCCACTTTAACAGCCATTTTGTCATTTCAACTGCGTCTAACCGCTGTAGACGAAGTATTTCGCTACCTTTCTGCGTTTGCGGAATTTAAAAAATGTTTCGTTTCGTTACAAATTTCATCAAAATTGAAGATAAAAAAAGTTTAAGAACGAAGTTCTAGTACATGACCAATATCCGAACAAAGTTCTAGTACATAACCAGCATGTTTCCAAAAAAATATAAATACTGTAATTAAAGCGATAAAAGTACTAACTTTTTAATAATATTGTTTATTAAAATTTCCGAGTCCAGTGTATTTTTTTCACAGAACTACCAAAGTTTCTCTTTCACAGAAATGGGGTAACCATATACCCAATATCAAAAACCAGTATATTATCATCGTGCAGTAATCATTATGAGTCCAATAAATGGTGATCTCAATGCTTAAAGTCTTTTCAAAAATTGTGCGAACATTATTCGAGAGGTAAACTACTTGAGCAAAAGTAAGAATTAGAAAGTTAAAAAGAAAAGAGTGAAAATCGTGTTCTTTGAGAATTAATATTTTGCTTAATAGAAAATGGTGACTATTTTTTGAACAGTAAGATGCTATAGTTCATTTTTATGACAGAAAATATATACTATGACGTTTTTCCTTTCAAATCCATATCTTGATTTAAGTTTTAAATACTCCCTGTGATAGTAATGTAAACTTGGCATAGCACTGACAATCAGGTTTTCGAAATGATAAATTTTTCAAGGATCAAAACAAAACTTTTAGTTACTTTCAATGAATAATATCATAAAAAGAAATTAATGTTCTTTGGGGATGATTTTTGGGTCAATGCATAAATAATTATGAGGTCGGTTGTGTATATAGTTTTTTATTGACCATTTAATACTATGAAAAGTAAAGTTTTTTTTTGCAATATTCACATCTTAGTGTTCAATACTAAATGTTTAAGTGCAATGTTTTTAACAATCACAAGACAGAAATTCATAGACACACATAGCAAATGAGTTAAAAATTACATAATATGTAATTATACTCGATTTGAAAAAAAATCAGTCTTTTTTATAAACAAAGGCAAACATACACACGAGATACTCGTAGTAAACTATAAAGTATCAAAGTCTATAAATATCAATTTATGATGATCACATTTCGTAATTAAGATTGGACTGTTGTAATTTGATGCATCATTAATTCCCAACGGCAATATTCTTAATTTCATAGATAGCGTACTGTTGATAATTATTTTATTAATAAGCACACAGGTGTGCTTAAAGAAATAGACAGGATTTCTGCTTTATTTTAAATAATTTTTATTATCCCGTAAATATTTATAATAATTTAAGGCCTATTTAATAAAATTTTTTCAAGTAAATTTATGCAATATTTTTATTATTTTTACAGATGTACCAACACAAATGCCACCATTAACACCTGGTACAAATAAAAAACTTGCTGAAGTTCTTAAGGCATCGTTTGCATCATGGGAAAAAGTAGTGCAAAAGTGCAATATTACCAAAGGTAAGTAGCGAAATAATTGTTTTGAATATTGGTTTTCTGTCTTTCTTTTGTAACTGTTACTTATCTCAATGATTTTTAACGTGAATTTTCATTGTTCTCAAAAAAAAATTTTATATTGTTGTGATATTTATTTTTGTATTTAATTTTATTGTATACGTTCAACGCGTATTGCATTTAAAACTCTCGTCCCGTTTTCAAAAACAAGACACCACAAACAAACGCAATCAGTGAAGCATTTCAACAATCTGACAAGAGTTTTGTTTTTGTTCGTTTATATTCTTTATATGTTTTTTTTTAATTTTATTCAAAATAAATTCCTCCCTCTTTAAATTGTACCTGTAATTTTCTTTCTCTTACAATAAATATGTGTTTGCAGTAAAAAAAAATTAACCACCACTTTAACCAATATCATCATCGCTATCGCTGCAACAGCGTTACTATTACCGTATACATAATTTTTCTCCATAATCATTGCTTGCTCGGGTTTTTTTGTTCTTTTTGGCTTCGTTCTAAGGTTATACAACGATTCAAGTATTATTTTCCAACGACGTATTTTTGCTATGCTTTTTCACTACAATGATATGAATATTTTAACGGCAGTCGCCTGTTGATATCATCATATGTATGTATGTTTGCTATTGCTGCATTTTTAATTTTATTTTCTCCCTTATACAAAAAAAAATCAAAAAATTCAAAAACGCATTTTCACTAACCGTGTATTGTAAATTTTCAAAATTTTATTTTTATGCAGTTTAATTTTGTATCTTTCCTTCTGAGAGAACAACGAAGTAGAAATAAACAGAAGAATATAAAACAATGTTAAAAATTTAGAACCTCAAAAATTCTTAACAACTATTAGTTTGATTTCATAATTATACAATAGAATTTTCAAAATCAAAAATATCATAATATTAAATATGTTGCAATAGCAACATAAACCTTTATCTTCTGCCGCGTGTTATGTGTGTGGAGATATGGGAAACCTAAACAAACTGTTCAAAAATAATAAATATGCATAGACGAGTTTTTCAAATTGGCGATAGGAGATAAAGGTGAAAAACAAAAAAAAAAAATAAATTAAAACAAAGCAAAAATTCGCAATCATTGACAATAAATAGTAAGTAAAAAATAATAACCAAGAAAGTCCAGAAGATAAAAATACTGACCACAAAATCTTGCAGACATAACTCCTATAATCCATAAGTTACCACCTATTTGTATTTATTAACAGGATCTTAAAAAGATAATAAAATTGTTAACACAAAGCTACGAAAGAGCAATCATTAGCAATCATTAAAAATAATGAGTATAAACGTAAATTTATTTATTTCTAGACAAACAGACCGGCACTCATTCCAATTTTCATCAATCTGACTTTATAAATATTTAAAATTAGCTATTGGAGTTGTATGAAATTCAACTAAAATTTCAAGAACATATCTGACCTATAATTGGACACACAACTGCCAAATTTTATGAACCTTTTATATAGCTTTTGGAATTGTTTGGCAACCACCCAAACCGTTGCAACCGTCTCATTAAAATTTTTAGATCGTATATAGAATGTAATTGGACACACGTATACAAAATTTCATATTATTATGCCTTTATTAGTTTTCCAAATATTTAAAATAAACTCTTCTCTCCGTTTCCGAATTGGTCCAATTACAATAGGGTTCGTCCTTGGCACAAAAGAAACAACTTGTGAAAGTTTGGTGTCGATTGCATTATTCGTTTTTGAGTTATCGTACGATCGGAAGGACGGATGTCTTCGTTGATGGAAATCGTTGTAGTCTTCGTTGAAAAATTACAAAACTGAAAACGCTTAATTAATGTAAAATAAATCTTCAGTTGTGCAAATTAGCTATTAAATAGTTATTAATCTTTTCCTCGTAAAGATTCAACATATTAGTAATCTTAAAGTCATCTGGCAAATCACCAAAAAGTTTTAAGCAGTTATCTAAACAACAATTTTTTTGACTATTTCTCCTAAAAAGCCAATTAAATTACAAAAAAAAAAATTGGACTTAATTCCTGTATTGTGTTGGTGTATAGATATTTCATTCAATTTAATATAAATCCATGTTTTATGTAATTAGTAATTATTTTAAAGGATGTGATATATAACTCAAATTTAAATATGTTGGAGAAGCTCATGTATTTTTCACAATATAATAGAGCCAAAGAATACCTTATATCATAACCATGAATTAATTTTATAGCTTTTTTGTGTAAGACATTCAATTTGTCTATATGTATAACTTTGCGATGCATTACTCCAGATAGGGTTTAGATAAGTTGAACGAATATATGAAGAATATATATGAAACAAAAAAAGAGTGTCTTTGTTAAAATATTATCGCATTCTTGGGTTTGGTTTATGGAATCATTAACTTGTAAAAAACTTGCATTTACACGACTTATAAAAGTTCTAACTTACAACGAAATACAAAAATTAATTTTACAGATGAATTGTTTTCACTGATTTGCTTGGACAAAATTTCGTTTTCTATCTTTAAGGATGTTGTAAACGGATAGGTAGATGAGCTAAGAAAAGTGTTCCAAAAATTCCTGACAATGTAGCACTTTTTAGAAGTATCTTTTAGAAAATGCGCATTTCAAACTTTTTGGGAATATTAAATAAACACTTAGCTGATTCAAAATCTTTCATTAATAATTTATAAAAAAAATCCTTATTAAAATAGATTTTATGTGCTTTTATGTATATTACAGATCCTAGGCAATGGACAGAAGAACATATTAGCTATTGGTTACAATGGGCCACAAATGAATTCTCATTTGAATCAATGAATATTGAAGCTTTAACTAAAATGAAAGGACGTGATATGGTAGCATTAGGACGTGAAAAATTTTTAGCTATAGCACCCCCTTTTACTGGTGATATTTTATGGGAACATTTAGAAATTTTACAAAAAGGTGAGTAAGAGCATTTATTTTTTTTTTAATAAACCATAAAACAGTCAATCATAGACTTTTATATTTAATATGCAAAACTTTATGCTCGTAATAATATTAAGATTTTAAATCAAATTTATTCAAAAGTCCGTTTTTTATAAATTATTTTTCTTTTAAATAAATTTACGATAATATCCTTTTCTAGATAAAGTGAAAATATTTGTTTAATCTCCTAGTTGATAATCAACTTTAAAATGGAAAAAAAGTAAAACAGTTTTCTCTCTCATATTTCTTCGTGTTACGATATTTATTTATTAAATTTACAATTTTTCACTTTTCTTAACCACAAGCCTTTAACATAAATTGATGTAAATTGAATACATCCTTGTTATAATAATAAAATTCAAAAATCGGAACTATATTTTTTGCAAAAGAAGAATGAAAACTTGCTTAGTTTGGACACTTTTTTCTACACGATAATTAAATTTGAAAAAAAAAAATTTTAAAGATAAAAAAGCCAAAATAAAAAAGGAGATTTCCAATTCATTCTCTCAAGGAAGGACTTCATTTATATTCCGATTGAATAAGTAAATTTGCAATATAATTTTGATAATAATTTTACAAATATTTCGCGTTCTGATAAAATAAATTTATGTTTTTCTTTTAGAATATTATTTAATTATAATCAGCAGGATATTGAAGTTGTTCCAGAAGGTCTTATAGAGATTTAAATTATTTTTATTTAAAATGCTCAATAATGGGCTGAATTATAAATTAATTATGAAGTTTAAAATTGTTAATTGCTTTATTTATTTATAGTTTTCACGATTTTAAATGCATTTTTAAAATTGTAACACATACTATTTATTAATACAGCTATTGGTTTTGGGATTTACAACCAAAACGTGTTTTGAACAAAAAAAAATATAAAATGTAAATGCCAAATTTTTTTTATTTAACGTTTTGAAGAGCTTCCATGCTGATTTCATTGAGTGTATACAATTTTTCTTTTATTTTCTATAATCACATAATTTTAAAATTTAAATACTTTCGGATTGAGACATGTGATGGTTCATGAGCAGCATTTTCTCAATTTTTTTTATTACTAGTACGTATTCTAATAGCAATTATAAATACAATTTATTTATAAAATTTAAATCAATCAAAACATTGATGATAAAGACAAAAAATATTTTGGAACTAATTTTGGAATTAACTACAAATTTTAATTCGTATTTGCATTTTTCACAATTCCTAAATGTAATTTCTTGTATATTCGGAATAGTTTTAGAAATTATAAGATTTCATAGAGATTTATTTTAATCTTTCTTATATTTCGTCGGCATGAAAACTATTGCACTTTTTCCGATGAAATTTTAGATTAATTTGCTTGAAAATAAAAAATTTTTAAACCAGGTCTATCACTAACAAATTTTATATTTGAATTTTATTTAAGTCAATTCAAATTTATAAAAAAATATATTTTATAAATAATACAAATTTTTTGAACAAGTTTCTCACCTTAAAATTTAATTGTTTAAATTTCTTTCAAATTTTATAGATTGTGAAAAAATAATAGAGGAAGACAATTCAATAACATCGAATTCATATGATAATCATACAACAGCTAACTGTGGACCAGACATAGCTGATTATTTAGGAAATCAAAGATTATCAAATAGCAATAATAATAATTCTTCAACACAATTAACACAAAATTATTCAAGTAGTGATAAACAAACAAATAGTTATTCAATACACCAAAATGGTAAGTTCATCATTCATGTACATACACACGTATATAAATTTTATATAAATACATTTTACTTTAAGATTTCTGAAGTACAATGCAATTCATAAACTTAATTCTACTCTTAACTAAAATTGTACTCTTAAGTACATTTATATATTCCTAACAATACTTTTACAGGTACTTTTATAGATAGTATCCAAACTAATATATTAAAAAAATAGTTTGTTGGAATTTAGCTACGCATAGAATTCAAAAAATATTTTATGAATTTCATTCTATTTATATTATTAATAGTATTACCAAATATTGTCCAAAATTAATCCCTTAAAAATAATAATAATTTTCAACTTCTAATTTTTAGTAGTAATAAAATAAATGAAAATGAAAAAAATATTTTTAATTGGATAACAATAAGATAATTTATCAGATTTATCTTAAAAGTTATCCCAAATTGAACCATGAATATATTGTACAATCTCCCCCATTCTCCTTTTTTATCGTATTTTTTAAAAACATAATTTTCATGAAATACTAAAAAGAATACATATTTGTATAATTGTTTAACAGGAAATTATTAATTTAAGTTCAAAAAAAAATTCTTTTTATTTCCATTTGTTTTATAAAAAAAAAAAAGTTTATTAATCTTTTGAAATAACTTAAATTTTGCATACAAACGCCCCCGTATACGGCGATATGACTTCGATCACCTTAAGAAAAAGAGAAAAATATATTTTCTTTTTTTTGGATACTTTTTAACATTCATAATAAAATGAAACTCCAAAATTAATTACCAAAAATAGAATTTTCAAATTAAAATATAAAACAATTTAAAAAAATGTTTCTCTCCCATATATGAAGGTGTAAATTAGTCCTATAATGTACAAAAATTTATTGAATTAATAAAAAGTTTTGACATTAAGTTGAAAAACAAATACTCGTTCATCTAAGTTTTGAAATTATTTTAAAAATCGCTTGAATATTAAAATTCTCATATATCATAATTTTACGAAATGTTTTATGAATGTGTTTTTGGATATTAATATCACAGAGACATGTACTGAAGGCTCACGCAGACTGTTGGTTATATCCATAGCTAAATTAAACTGCAATATAAAATGCCATTGCCATCTTGAAGTTAGTATCAGTAACAGCGAAATGATTTTTTCCGAATGCAAAACACATTTTAAATTTACTGACCATTTTTTCAGGAAAGTTTAAAAATTAACAAAACTAATTTTTTGTAACAAGTCAGCTAAATAAAACACAAAATTTTATGTAAGTGAACTTCCAAATAAAATTTGTTATTCAAAGCACAAGTAAATAGCAATCCGTGACTTCAATAATGCACTTACGACGTAATCTTTACAAAGTATCACATCCCAAAAGTTTAGTAAAAGCTGTTGACATTATATAATTTTCCCAAATACGCTCTATAGGTAGTGGATACGTAAAGGAGCACGCTTTTCTTATACATGTCACATGAATATTGCCAGAAATAACCAACTAAATAAAGTAGCCTATATTTTCAGCAATAAAGTGCTAGTTATTAAGTTTTTTTTCTAAAATGCAGCATAAAAGTGCTATGTTTTTACTGATGTGGTAACGTTTGTTAAAAATTAACACTTACACAGAGCTTTAAATTGAAATTTTAAACAAACGTCAAAGTATGTATTAAAATTGTAAAAATTGTATTCCAAAATGTATCAAAAGCTGTAGCAGTTTTTTGTACAATGTAAAGGTATTGAAAGCTCTGAGACGGTAGTACAATCGTATTAATATCGTACTTAAACTTTTTATAAAGCATTATTGAAGTCACGGAATGATATACATAAATAAATCTATGCACTCCTTTGCTTGATTGAGCCGTCAAAGTTTTGACATTATAATAAAATTTTCTTAATTATAAATTATAATTTAGTTTTTATAATGTTTGTATTACGTTATAAAAATTAATGTTTAGTTTTAATTAATATATTAATGTAACTCATCAGCTCAGCAAGAACATTATTTGTACAGGCTTAGCAATTTAAGCTTATTTTGCGGGTGGAATTTCAAAATAAGAAAATTATAAAATAACATGCTGAAACAAGAACTTTGAAGGTTTATGTTGGAAAAGAAGTACGTGTATAATTTTCCGGACTTTTAAAAATTTAATACAGTCTGGCAATAAAATATTGTGCTTACAAGCAAATTTCAATTTGTGATTCAAATTTGTGACATTGTCTTAGTTATGCTCCATTGATTTTTCTTTATTTCGAAAATTTCTCAAAACATATTGATATGTTTGTACCATTAAAGATGAAAAATCTACTCAGTAATTGCATGTATACTAAGAAAATATGTATACATAAATGTATGTATACTGGATGCGTAAACGCATGCACGGGTTAATTGTATAATTTTACATAAAGTGCTTTAAATAAAAAAATAGTTTAATTTTTAAAAAATAAAAATAAAACTATGGAACAAAAACGATTCTATTTATTAAATTTGAAATAAAAAATGGCCACATACACATAGACACAATCACAACACTAAAAAAAGCCATAAAAACGATAAAAAATGATTTTTAATGCTTATAAAAAAATATTGAAAAGTTGAAAATAAAATATTCAAATTAGTTTGGCGACTAAATCACCATTAACCAATAACACAACGATTTGTCGTTTTATAACTTTAAAATCCCATCTTAAAAAAGAAACAATACAAAGAATACATATTTGTAAACGCAGTCATTATGTTGTGGGGTATTTAAAAAGTAATTTTCGAAATTAATAACAACAAACGTCAGCCAAAATAATAATTGGTTTATTTCAATAACAAATGAATTTTACATACATACATATACAGTCAAAAATGAAGAAAAAAAACAAACCTTGGTAAGATGCCGCCAGTCGCCATCACTGTTATACAAACGGTATTTGTAAACATAGCAAATTTTTTAAAATTCAATAACGGTTTATTTTTTTTAACGTTAAAGGTATAACTCAAACGCGCTTAAGTCTAAATATGAAGAAACTTAAAATTAATGTGAAGGTGATATTGTTTAGTTTAATATTTTTTTTTGTGTGTAAAGGAAATTTCATTCTTACCAGTATAAGAGTGGGTAGATTAGTTGTATTTTAATGGATGAATTCTAAATATACTTTAAAATGAATTAATTATTGAAATGAACTTTTGATGTGTTAAATAAATTTTAAATTTGAAAAATCATATACATATGCATATGTGTGTGCATTTGTGTATATAGATATAAAGGAAATATATAAATACATATGCTCTTATATAAATTGCATAAATATGTACATATTCATTTTTAGAAATATCAATTTACATATTTATACATACAATATGAATGTATATAAATGTAATAGGGGATTTCAATCTGCCTTAGTCTATATTATAATATCACCATTTTTGTAACTGCTTAGTAACTAGAGTTTTTTCATAAAAGGTATTCTACTTAAAATTGTTAAATATCATAAGACAATCACAATTATGTTTGCAAACAAATTATGCGAATTTAAATTTTCGCCCCGTTAATTATGCATTTGAAAAAAGTTTCAACAGCTTTCGTTTGCATAAAGTTTAAGAATATCGCAATACAGAATTTAACTTTGTAGCTATACGCCCAGAACATTAAACTGTATAAATGGGGATTAATGTAAAATATTAAGATTCTTATCTTAAATTAGCAAAATATTATGCAAGTATGTAATTATATAAAAACAACAAAATATAAAAATCCATACAAAAACGAGGGTGGTAACTATTTAAGAAATTGACTGGGTTCTAATAATCTAAATTTAACGCAAGAAATAAAAAATACTATTGTTAATAAATTAACTTTGTTTCGGTATATATGTACATAAAAAGTATGTTTTGTATATTTCCCATAATTTATAATTTAACACTATCCTAATATTATTTATATACCATCAAATCATTCTAGGCATATTTAAAAAAAATACAAATCTATAACCATACTTTTACCTCATGTTGAGTGATTTTTATTACACTAAGATTAATTCAACTATATATATATATGTATATATATATAGATTTATAAGAATTTTATGCATATCTTTATATGAATGCCATAAAATGAACTCATTCGGTCGGTTTTTATTTCTTTCAATTAATTTTTATAATTTAATTAAAGTTTTTCTTCTATTAAAATTTTACTATATACAATATACCTTATTAATTTGATAAATGTTGTGTCAAAAACAAAAAAAGAAGAAAACACGCGTTTAACACAATAAGCAATAAAAAGGCGAACAACAATGAAATATTCTTAAAATTAAATAAAAATTAGAATAATTAAATAAATAAAAAATATTATTTGTATAAAAAAATAAAAATGTTAAAACTTGTTTAAAAATTTAAAAATGTTAAAACACACACAATTTTATACAAAGTATAAAACAATGAATCCGTGACTTCAATAATGCGCTTACGACGTAATCTTTACAAAGTATCACATTCCAAAAAGTTTAATAAAAGCTCTTGATATTGTGCACTTTTCCAAAATGCGTTCTATACGTAGTGAATACATAAAGTAAAAGTAATTTGGGTATCGAAAAAATCGAGCACGCTTTTCTTATACATGTCATATAAATGTTGCCAGAAACAGCCAATTAAATAATATTGTATATATTTTCAGCAATAAAGTGCTAGTTATTAAGTTTTTTTTCTAAAATGCAGCATAAAAGTTTTTACTGATGTGGTAACGTTTGTTAAAAATTAACACTTACACAGAGCTTTAAATTGAAATTTTAAACAAACGTCAAAGTATGTATTAAAATTGTAAAAATTGTATTCCAAAATGTATCAAAAGCTTTAGCAGTTTTTTTACAGTGTAAAGGTATTGAAAGCTCTGAGATGGTACTACAGCCGTATTAATACCGTACTTAAACATTTTATGAGGCATTATTGAAATCACGGAATTGAAATTACGTTCACATTTTAAAGGTCCGGATTTAAAAAAAAAGGTTGACAAGATGCACTTTTAA